CAAAGTCAGCAAAGGCGTCTTGAACAGGCAGAGCGTCAATCTACTTTAAGAGCCACTGAAACACCTGCTCAAAGTCAGCAAAGGCTATTCGAACAAGCGGAACGTCAGGCCGCCTTAAGAGCCGCGGAAACACCTGATGAAACTCAACACAGACTCATTGAGCAAGCTGAACGTCAATCTACTATAAGGGCATCTGAAACATCAGAATAGACACAGGCGCGAAGAGATGCAAATGCACAGCTCCAAGCGTTCAGCTTCGACAAAATTTTCAAAGAAACAATTGGTCGGTTCTTAATGACGCAGCATTCAATTATGATCCGTTGATTGATTATAAAAATCACAGGTTAGTTGTTATCGGACTGATGGACAAGGCGTGTCGATTTTGCAGCGCTTTAAAATTGAAAGATGAGACCGCAGGCATGTGCTGTTCCAATGGCAAAGTGTCTCTTCCGTTACTTGGGGAACCAGAAGAACCTTTGAAAACTCTCTTTTTATATGATGCTAATGAGTCACGGCGCTTTTTAAACAGGATCCGGAAATATAACTCATGCTTTCAATTGACGTCCTTCGGAGTTGACCGGGAAATAATAATGCCGGGATTTTCGCTTACATTTAGGGTGCAAGGGCAAATTTATCATAGAATAGGTTCACTTTTTCCAGCTGAAAACGAACAGCATAAATTTTTACAAGTATATTTTATGGGTGACGAAGAAATTGAGGTAGACCGTCGCTGCCAATATAACCAGGAAGTTGAGAGAGACACAGTGTTCAAAATTCAAAGATTAAAACATTTAAAACTGATTTAGAAAACCTACCTGAAGAGGATTATAAAGTCGTCATTCACGCAGATCGGAGCCCTCGAGGAGAGAATGAAAGGCGCTACAATGCACCTTTGATAAACGATATAGCAGCCGTAATTAGTGGTGATCAATTTTCTTCACGAGACATTGTCTTGCGAGCACGTGATGATACGTTGCAACGGGTAGCCGACACACACAAGTTTTATGACGCTCTGTAATACACATTGATTTATTGCAAAGGACAAGAGGGTTATCATTTTTAATTTCCACTCATTAACCCGGTCACAAAGGAGCCTACTCCGAACAAAAAAGTATCATGTATGGATTTTTATGCGTAACATATGATGTTGCGAGAAAATGATTTTAATCTCTTAGCCCGGTGTAGACCATTATTTCATCAATTTTTGGTAGACATGTTGTATGTGAAGGTAGAAAGTGAACGTCTCCGTTATATATCTTTAAATCAAAAAAAGCTGCGCGTTGAGAATTATATACATTTACAAGATGCAGTTTCCAGCGACGCCAATGTAAACCCCAGAGATTTAGGTAAAATGGTAATTCTGCCCTCATCATTCGTTAACAGTCCCCGCTACCTACATAAGTACACACAAGACGCATTCGCCTATGTACGAACTTACGGAAGACCTGATCTTTTTGTTACTTTTACTTGCAATCCCATAATGAAAGAAATAACCGAGGAGCTAATGCCGGGCCAAAAAAGTACTGACAGACACGATTTAGTTGCTAGAGTATTTAGATTAAAAGTACAAAAATTAATGTATGTAATTAACAAAGGGAAAATTTTCGGAGAGGTGCAGTGCTTCATGTATTCAATTGAATGGCAAAAAAGAGGATTACCGCATGCCCACATTCTAATACGGCTTAAAGAGAAGTTGCGGCCCAGCCAAATAGACGACATAATAAGCGCCGAGATTCCTGAGAGATCCTGAGCAAGATAAAGAATTGTATGATACCATCGTCCGAAATATGATTCACGGTCCATGTGGAGCACGAAATTCAATATCGCCATGTATAAAAGAAGGAAAATGTACAAAGAAATTCCCTAAACAGCTATTAAAAGAAACAGTGCACAATGACAATGGCTACCCTTTATACAGACGCAGAGCTCCCGAAGATGGTGGCAGGAAAGTTACAATCAAATCTCGCTCTGGAGCGTTCGAAACCTTAGATAACACCTGGATTGTCCCGTATTCGCCCATTCTATGTAAAATGTTTAATGCCCACATTAATGTAGAAGCATGTAGCTCTGTCCGCGCAATCAAGTATATCTGTAAGTACATAAATAAAGGAAGCGACCAAGCAATATTTAATCTCAGGAGTGAAAGTGAGGCAAATCCCGTTAATGAAGTACAGACCTTTCAAGCAGGGCGTTATGTCAGCAGTAACGAGACAGCGTGGCGTCTCCTTGGCTTCCCTTTACACCAAAGGCACCCAACAGCTTCTCACCTTGCTGTGCACTTAGAAAATGGAGAGCGTGTATATTTCACCGAAAGAAATTTCCAAGAAAGAATTGCATCACCGCCAAAAACTACACTAACAGCCTTCTTTCAACTTTGTCAAACCGACCTCTTTGCAAAAACGTTGTTATATTCTGAAGTCCTCCGCTATTATACTTGGTACACATCTAGAAAGGAGTGGAAACGCCGTATTCAAGGCGCGCCTGTTGCAAATTGGCCCGGTGTAAAGTCATCAGATGCCCTTGGTTGTGTGTATACCGTCCATGTAACTAATTTTGAATGTTTCTGTTTACGATTGCTGCTGCACCATGTTCGGGGTCCTACAAGATATAAAGACCTTAAAACTGTCAACGGTCAGGAATGCGCAACTTATAGAGAAGCATGTGAAGCTCTGCATCTTTTAGAAAACGATAATTACTGGGATCAAATCATGGAGAAAGCTCTGCAGTGCCAGTCACCAGCCAAAATTAGGGATCTTTATGCAACTCTCATATCATCTTGCGGGCTATCTAATGCACATGAATTGTGGGACAAATATAAAGAGTACATGGCGGAAGATATTTTGTGAAGGTTACAGCAGACACACGCGAACATGACATACAATGAACACATTTATAATGAAGCACTTGGAAAAATTGAAGATAAAGTAATGGCAATGGTAGGCAAAAAATTAAGCGACTTTGGAATGATAAGCCCTCAGCGAACAACCGAAAATGAACTAAGTGATTAAATTATACGTGAAACAAACTACGATATACCAGCTTTGCAGCAGCAAGTAGCCGAATTTGTAACCCCCTTGCTTCCCGAACAAAAACGAGTTTTTGACAAAGTATTAGGACAAATTGAATCTGGAAATGGTGCACTTTTCTTTTTAGATGCCCCTGGAGGAATTGGGAAGACATTTTTGTTAAATTTATTATTAGCGCAAGTACGGAAAGATAAAAACATTGCTGTGGCCGTAGCTTACTCCGGTATAGCCGCCACGCTGCTAAGCGGGGGCCGCACTGCACATTCTGTTTTAAAACTCCCTCTAAACCTAGCCCAGGAAGAATCGCCGATCTGCAACTTTAGCAAAAATAGTGCACGAGGTATAATGCTACGACAATGCAAACTTTTAGTGTGGGTCGAAAGTACAATAAAAAAGTAGAATAAAAAAGCTGTAGAAGCACTAAATCGAACGCTCCAGGATTTGCGCAGCAATACCGATGTAATGGGAGGAATGGTGATTTAACTTAAGACTCCTTATGTTTTAAGTTATTACGTCATTAGCTAACCAACATATAGTGACCATATCAATGTTAAAAGTCTTTTATGTTAAATATATAGATTGACTTGGCCATCGCATGAAACCACAATGTATCTCACAAGAAATACATATTATATTAAATTAGATTGCTTAGTGCGATTGCCAAGTCAATCTATATATTTAAAATATAAAAGACTTTTAAAATTGATATGGTCACTATAAAATGTTGTTAGGTTAGCTAATGACGTAATAACTTAAAACATAAGGAGTCTTAAGTAGGAACTGAATAAATTAACCGACTTGGTATTACATGCATCTCACAATTTTTTACAGTAGAAGAACTGAGTTGCGAGACTCGGTTTTTTTACAAGTTATGTTTTTAATGGCATCTCATTTCTTTTTGTATGTAAGATAGTCCTAATTTTTTACCTTTCCGGTACCTTCTACTTCTTGAGTACCAAAAACGTACCTATGTACACCTGTAATACATATACAAGTACACTGATTCATTCACTGCAAATTTAACTTTGTAATTCTATATATTTATATGGGATTACAAAGTTATTAATGCAGTTGGTGTATCTAGAAAACTGGACCGAAATTGAAAAATATTTTAGTTTTTCCTTGATTTATACACTACATACTAATTGTATTCTAAATTTGAAGCTTCTATGTCTGCTAGAAGTGCCTTAGAGTTTTGATGATCGGTCAGTCAGTGAGTGACAAAATTAAGAAACTTTGACTTGTTACAATTCTTAAACTACTGGTTCAAATTGAATGAAATTTGAAATATACCATGTTTATACAATGCTTACTCGGTTACTGAAAAGTCAGGCTTCTAGATTAATTGACTACGAAGTTATAGGGGGTCGAAAATGGCCTGAATTGCTTCGAGAAAAGATGGTACTGCCGTGCCGCTTTTTTGCTCGACTTAGCGGGCTGCGTGCCCCAATATATTTAACAAAATATAATTTTTATTTCAACATACTACTTTCAAAATTGATTCATAATTAATTTTAATAAGTGAATTAATCAGTCGATTTCGTATACACTATATACAACGAATATTTAATGGTAAGTACAAAGATTTGTGTACATATACAAGATAGAAAAACTGATTTTATACCCATTAAGTGTGTGATGTATTTTGACCCGGGCAACGCCGGTTCCGTTGTTAGTTTACTCGTATTTTCAAATACTACAATAACGGTATATCATTATTTATATATTTGAACCTATGGTTATCATCATCATCATACTACTGTCAAGTGGTGAAATTAAATTTTATACGTAAACGATGGATATCTAGCTGCAACATCAAACTGTATCCCCTATTTTGTTATCATCTGTTTTCTATGTTGTGTTCTGCTACGGAAGCAAATTAAAAAACGTATTCACGTCAAAAAAAAAAACAAGGTTAAAGTTGACAAATATATTTATTGTGTAAATATAAAAATATTTTTCAAATATTAACCGCTACCTAACTGCCACAATACTATGACACCGAGGTGACAGCACAGGATCAAACAATTTCACTATATAAGCCTTTTTAAACCCGTTTTCTAATAAATACAGCAATCTATCTAACAACAAAACGCTCTCAATCACCTGCGCCAAACATAACCTTAACAAATAAAATAAAACAACTTGTTTCCATTGACAGTTCAAATCTTTAGACACTTCTTTCAAATAACTGTCAGACAATTTGTCAAACAGACCCAATGCGAGCACGCTGTCCGCCATCTTGAAATATTCGTTGAAGTCATCACAATTTGAAGCTAACCGCTTCAGTCTCCCATCGGTTAAAGCGAACCCTGGCAGATGTCTCTTCACAATCACCTGTAAAAGAATTTATTCCTTGGAGAATTAACTCATACCCTGGGTTAAGTGTAGGCTGTGTTAGAAAATGTATCACCCCCATATCCACTCGTGTGGATTTTTAGAGGAGACTATGAGAAATGCCAGTAAGATAGAGACTCCGATAGATGACGGTATAACTTTTTTTTTACTAAAGTTACAGTACCACTGTCCCAGTGTAAAATAGTAGCTTAATGTTGCTATGGTGAGTGTAGAGAACCGGATACCGTTTTTACTGGAAACGAGGCATTATATCTTAGTCCTCACGGGTGACAACGCATCTGCATCTTGATTCGTAATCGAGGCTAGATGTAGATGTCTATGGGTCACAGCAACCACTTACCATCAGGTGGACTGTGTGCTCGTTTAGTAAAAAATATAGTAATACCTACGGCATGGCTACTGCAGTCTATGTACACCTGCAGCCAATTTCAAACATAGAAGGTTACAGATGCGTTTGCACCTTAAAGGATTAAAATGGAATGCATCACAGCATGTAATTATATTGGTTCTCTATATCCTACAGACCGAGACACGTTGACACAGAGCAAGAACTGCATTTTGGTGGCAGGAAAAGGTCTGGTATCAACCCAGACGAACTTCTAGGCCGAAAAGGGGCCATACCACGAAGTAAGCCATCTCGCATATTAATTCGTTTATTATAGTCTACATTATCCACTGGTGAACATAGGCTTCCTCTATAGATTGCCTCATAGAGGCGAATATGCCATGGTTGCCACATTTGGCAGATGCATTGAAAACCTCCCAACAGGAAAATGCTACCACCCATCTCCTGATTGAGTTTCTCTCGTTAACCGCATATTACTTAATGAAAAAAAAAACGAATTTCGGTTACGGCCTCTCTGTGGTATAATTTACCACCGGCGATTTTTACGGACCGATACGACCTGGGGACCTTCAAGAAAAGAGCTTACTCCTTTCTAAAGGGCCGGCAAAGCACCTGCAGTTCCCCTGGTGTTGCAGTTGTTCATGGGTGGCGGTAATCACTTAACATCAGGTGAACCGTATGCTCGTGTGCCTCCTCTTCTATAAAAAAAAAAACGACGGCCAGTCTCAACGGAGATTAGTCATGCGCAGGACAGAATATCAGTGCTGAAGTGTGTGCTTGCGCACAGGCACAGGTGCTCCCACTATTCTCTTACTAAATAAAAATCACATGGTACATTTAAAATCCTTCTATCATTTAAAAAAGTAATTTGACACAAAATATTTATACCTGAAACAGGGCTCTATACAGCAAACTCTTTGACGGCAATTGTTTCCGAGACACGACCCTGTCTATAGACTGAGCGGCGAGCATTCTAGCGTTCCGTCCCAGGTTATAACCTGAAACAACATTATTATTGTTACGAGCTTGAGGTTCGTGAGAATAAAAATTGCCGATAAAATTACCTAAATTAACACTTTAATTTACTTTACACAAATTAAAACTTAAAACACTAATAATTAAACACACTAATTCACTTTATTCCGCTCCGAAGCTTCGCTTGTCTCGCCAAATCAACACTGCCTCGATCGCATCTTGCAGCGCCTATTTATTTAAATTAGCAAAGAAGCATCCGGAATATTCAAGTAAATGCGCGCAAAGGGACGAGTGTGCGAGTGTAGATTTTCTAGAAACTTAGTTCTTCGGATGGCGCTGTCGGTTGATAAATTTGTGATGTCATTTTCTACAAAGCTCCCCTCGCTCTCGTTTCTGACACTAGATGGCGCTAGTGTATGACGCTGAGCGCGTAACATTATTATTATGATCTTCAAGGCTGGTTTTATCAAAAAGATTTTGTCGCAGCCGATACTCATATTTTTTATAGAATATGGGTGACAAACGAGCACACAGTCCACCTCATAGTGAGAAGATGCTGTAGCCCATAGACAACAAAGCTATCACTGGTTAAGAATCAAAATTCAGATGCGTTGTCACCCCTGAGGACTACGATGGAATGCCTCGTTACCAGTAAAAAGGGTATATTCGTGCTGCAGCTACGTAAAACTGCAGCGTGGCTAGCACGTGAAAAATACTATAAACGCTAGGACAAATGTGCTAGACGTCTAGTATTGCGATAGTTAATTCACCGGCTAAGCATGATGAATAGTTAGGAAGAAAGAAATAAAATTTATACGTGTCTACAATACAATAAATCACAATAAAATATCTTTTCTTCTTTTTTAATAGTATAAGGATGTCAAATGAGCATACAGTCCACCTGATGGTAAGTAGATGCTGTGGCGCATAGACATATACATTTATCCTCGATAAAGAATCAAAACGCAGTTGCGTTGTCACCCCTGAGTACGAAGATGGAATGCCTCGTTTCTAGTAAAGGTCAAGGTCTCCGGATCTCTACACTCACCATATAAAACGCAGCAGTATTAAGCCGATATTTTACGCTGGTATTCTGTGAGAGCGTGGTCCTTCCCTGGTTGAGCCGACCAATTCGTACTACAACTATAATATAGCTGTAGCGTGACTGTACCAAGTATAAAAACGTTACATCCACACTAGGATTTTCTCTTGTATCGAGGGACAGTTTACATAAATAAATTTCACAAGGGCGAACATCCAGTACCGGAACAATTATTTGTATTGATACAAATACTTGTGTTCCGTCCGAATTCGAACTCGCAGCCCTTAGCGCTGCAAGTCATTACTAAACCACTGCGAAATGGAGCCGTCGATCAATAATGATTAAGGCAAATCCTCTCCGTATAGTGAGAGGTCAATGTCCAGTAGTGAAATTTCACAGGCTGGTGTAAAAGGTTTGATCAACACGCGGTAGTTCAGGATTGACCTTTTCATTCTTCAGCCTTCGAATTTTAGTTTTTGAGCGTTCCCAATTTGATTATACGTTTTTTGTATACCGTTACCGTTATCGCCTATAAAATCAACTGCTGAACAAAGGCCTCCTATAGCATAGATCGCTTCATAGGGGGATACCAGTTACTCAACTCCACTGAGTCAGCAATTCATTCTTGGGTCGGTGTATATGCTTTTACAACAAAATCTCAGAAAATATACAAAATTTGACATACACAAGGTTCAAATACTTTATAAACTAAGTTTTAAAAAAGGGTTATTATAATATTAAGGAATTTATGGATGATAAAAACCCCTGGTAAGGGTGATTGCTACCAAGCTATTTCAATTTTTTTTTGTATTGTTAATTGTAACATACATGATTGTAACCTATTATTTGAAAAAAAAAATTGTCCCGCTGGGTTTCTTGCTGGTTCTTCCCAGGACAGAGGTGTTTTTTGCGAATCAGTGGTAAATGAAAAAAGTGAATTTCAATAAGTATTGTTTACAATCTATATTGAATAAAAAAGTTTCTGTTTCTGTTGTCGGTTGGTAACCGCAGTTTTTTTTATTTTTAGTCTCCTGAACTCTCTCAACGCTGTCCTTTCCCGCCACGGTTTTTTGTATGTTACGCGACATTTCCTTCAATTGTAAACCGATTTAAATTTTTCTTTTTTTTAAATTTAATATACTTCAGCGATGTTCCCATATAAATTTGAAGAAAAAGTAATTTAACTAGTAAGAAAATATTCCTTTACCCATTCAGTGGGGTGTAAAAAGAAATAAAACTAAATTAATAACTGACTTCGAAGAACTCATAATAATAAAATAGTTGAAGTTGGCGCCTTAATTCTTGTACGTCTTAGCACAGTCGGTGATAGGAAAGACAGATCGCAAGACCAAAATATCCGGACAAAATTCGAAAATGTCGCGATTTTGGGGTTGGTGTTCTTGTAAGACTTAACACTGTTGACACATAAATAATTTAAGTACACTCAATTTTTAGGTAGCCTCATGTACTTTACTAGAGCCCACAAATTTGGATCCTTTATTAGTATTTTGTAGATTTAAAATTCAAACGATTCACTTCAAAGTTCAGTCTAATTATTAACTCAGCTTTTATTAAATCAAAGGCAGCTGTGATGTGAAGAGAAGCTATTTGTCTGGAGATTTTGAGTTTCGTCGGGAGTCTGGAGATCATTTGAAATGTCGTGAGAATCCAGACGAATCCCGACCATCTGGCAAACGTAGTCGGTGCTAAGACGGAATAAATGCTACCTCAATGCATTCAAAGTAATAAATTATGATTATATATTACGTTTTTTACGTGGTTGAGCCATGCTGCAGTTATATTAATAGTATAGTTGTAGCAGTGGCGAAGCTTCTATACAAGCCCAAAAGCCCGGCTTGCCTCATTAAGATGAATCAATCAATTATATTAAGTAATAAAATAACTCGTAAACTGTTTCAAACTATTTCAAATTTCCCGCGCACTCTGTGAGACCTCGTAGCCTTACGAATACTGCTGTCATACATATAAGGAGAGTTGAATTGAGCGATTGGTTTTCTCCCTCGCACGCGTGGGCTTTTTACCGGGCTTCGGGCGATCGCTTTCGTTCTAACCTGTGGCAAAATGTTCTATAATGAAGTATAACTACGATTGTATAAATAGCAATTAGTATGGAGCTAAAAACCCCGGCTTTTTAGTGACCATTAATTTTTTCCTCAGAGCGGGACGCCTTTAAAATTATTTTTAATAGTTCTAACACTTTTAACTGCATTCTTGGTCTAATGGCAGTAAACGCAATTGCTGATCATGTGGTCCCAAGTTCGAAACCCGAGTCGGGTCAAGAATCATTTATTGGGTTTTTCCGTCACAAAATTCTCAGTAGCAGTAGTATTACACTTATTGTATATGTTAGTATTATACTTACGCCATTATTAAAAATCAATCTGGAACCCTTTAATACAGTTTTATAAATAAAACACATATCTTTTAATGAACAAAAGTGAATTCTAAACATCAAATAAATACTAATCGGAAATATCTTATGTTATTTGATAATTTATTGTAGATTAATTAAAAATTGTCACTTCGTAACTTTAAATTCAAAAGTGTAGCTTTTCAGAATAATCACGTAACTAGACAAGCTATGCAAACCTGGTACGCGCGCTGTCATAATGATGGCACGTTGCGATGGATGTTGCGATGGCACATTGCGAGTTTAAAATTTATGCTTTTTTTAAAGATTTTCAGTGAAAATGGGAGGATAATAGTGTTCATTGTGATGAATATAAGTGTGTTGAAGTGCTAATCGGCGAGGAAAAGGTAAGATGTTTAAAAATGAAATTTAATATTCAGTAAACATTTCTTCATACTTTAAATATAGGTACAGGACTCTTTAATATTAAAGTTTAATTAACTTAGGCGTATTTAAAGGTTTAATAACTCAATATTTATATTATTACCATACGAATTAAAAATATCAATTTGAAAACCAGCATAAAATATGAGACACCTAGGTTTAATTTTATAGGAAATAAGTGTTACAATCCTTTTTTTAACGTGAAGCCCAAATTTTAATGAAATAAATCAAAAGAATACAGAAGAATGTATTGAGATTTTTAAAGAATACTCCCTTTAGTTATTTCCAGTATATAAAATTTTAATAGCGCCATCTACTTAATTCTATAGGTAAAGTCATTTTATCGAACGAAAATTGGTTGATTCTCACGATGGTACCTAAAGATTACGCTAGATGGTACAAATACGCTATCGGCTAATTTATGTTACCATAATATGAGTTTAAAAATATCATTTTGTACGGTTTATTATGAATTGAAAATGAATAATTATAATTATAATAAATAGTCATTACTTTATGGTAAAAAATTAGCAAAGCTTTATCTTCTCATTATAACTATCTAATTCCTGTCGTAATCTGTTCTTTTATGCATATAACTTAAACAAAATATAATTTCGAGATTTCACATCTGCCAGGCGTCCCTTTTTTAACTTTGTACATAGTTTGTTTGTACTTTGTTCATGCTTTTCTTTTGTTCATGTATTGTATTGTTTGTAAATATCTCAAGCAAACCCAAACGGCTCTTTTCAAAACCACCGAAGGTGTGCAATTGCATATTATGTCATACAATCTATCTAGCGGTAGTATGCTTTCTGCGTGCTTTGTTAAACACGTCCTTGTCAGCACTGAATATGAAACTAAAGAGTGGAGACAGCTCAAGATTGGTGTATTTTTATTAAACTGCTAAAAACAACAAAACCATATTTTGGGCTTGCCCTAGTTTGAAGCCCTAGCTTCGCCACTGAGTTGTAGCACGAATGGGTCGCCTCGACCGGGGAGGACCACGCTCTCACAGAATACCAGCGTGAAATAGTAGCTTAATGCTTCTGTGTTTGGTGATGGGTTTGATGGTGAGTGTAGAGAACCGGAGACCCTTTTTACTGGAAACGAGACATTCCACCTAAGTCCTCACGGGTGACAACGTATCTGCATTTTGTTTCGTAATCGAGGACAGATGTAAATGTCCCTGGGCCACAGCAACCACTTACCATCAGGTGAACTGTGTGATCGTTTGTCACCCTATTCTATAAAAAAAGTGATTATTATTACACATGACCGACGTTTCGTTATAGGCAACCAAAAATTTGAAGCTATGTGGAAATTTTATACTCTTTAGTGCTTAGAAGTCTAATTTTAGTTTAATCTACACAGAATGATTTCACAATAAATTATGCTTGAGTTTCGATTTAATTTTAGTAATTACAGAATTCCAAGCAGTTTGTAGTAGCCAGACACCAGATACATATTCAATTTGGAATTGTGTTTGTATTTTTTTTCTGACCAGATGACCAGATATTATGATAATTTTAATTATTATGGTTAATTTTATTTATTTAATAAATGTGTCACATATTTTATTTTAATTGTTTATTATAGTAGTTAACAATTAAATTCCTTCACTCCACCACTGATACTTGCACTCTCGGGAGTACGCTAGCCGGTAGATATATAACGCGAAACCTTAAGCAAGTGACGGAGCCGTGCTTTAAGCTTTTTCATATGGCATTTGCGTAATACTTATATACAAACAAAAAACTTTAAAGATTGACAAACCTCTCAAATATTCGGACATAGGGAAACCATGTTCTGATGCTTGGCCACAACCATAATCTCTTTGGAACACGTCAAAAAGACCAGCATCTACTTCCTCGGTGAGGAGGTGGTAGCAACAAGGGACATTGAATAAGCCTGTGGTCGACGGTTGGGACTTGAAGATCTTGAGGGAATCAGGTCCCAAGTTTCCACATGTATGGAGTCCTGGAGAAAATATTTTATCATTCATCCGATCCTAATATAATTAAATCATTCGATATATATATTAAAATAAAAAAAATATATATATATATATATATATATATATATATATATATATATATATATATATATATATATGATACTGATTTATGACAAACACCAAAATTTACATATACCAAATTTACAAGCTAACAGACAGTAGTTGGATGGGGACTTTTACCATATTTATTTTGACAATTTTGAAAAAAACCAATGGACTCCGCGTATCGGACTCGGACGGATCCATTGTATGCAGGTAAAGTTTGAAACTGTGGATGAAGGCGCACTTATTGTTCTGGTGCGCCTTACCTGAAAAGAGACAAAGGGGAGGATTTCTCCATTCCCGAGGGGATGCCTGCCATGGGGCGGCCGCGGATGTATGCGGAAGCATTTCCGTGGTTCCGCCAATTATGCGGCCAAGACGGCATATAAGGTTTTAGTCGGTGCGAGTCTGACATAACCTGTCCTTGCTCCGTCAAGACGAGGATGGGTAGATATTTCGCCATGCAAAAAAGCAGTTCGCCTAGCTTATCCAGACCACCATGACCTGTTATTACCATTACTGTATATTTTATATTTTTAATATATAGATTCTCGCCGTGAATGATTCCCGGCGTGGAAGACAGTATAATGTCTTCCACACCGGGAATCATTCACGGTGGCCAGTTTCAAAAGAACCCGAGTGTATGCGCAAGCACAAGTGCACTCTCTATTCCCTCACTGTCACAGTCCCATGGGACGGTTATCCAACCCGACCGGAGATCAGGCGCAGGACCAACGGATTTGCGTGCTTTTCGAGGCACGGGGGTGAGACACTGCCAACTTCCTGACTCACGGGTGCTACTAATAATTTTCTTGACAGAAAAACCCAATAACTGATTTTGGCCCAAAATATGAGGCATCAATCAATGGAAACCCAGTATATTTTAAATAACCCAGGGTTATTTTGCAATAACTGGCCAAATGTGAGGAGAAGGTTTAAAATAAGAAATATAGGCACCTGGGAAAGAAAAATTATTTAAAAAAATCTCAAATATTATGTCCTTTTTATCTTCTAAGTTAAAAATGCGTAGTAATGCATTATTTTACCTGATTTCACTGCACACACACATAATCCATAAGGGTCGATCGTTGGGCAAAAATGTTGTTGCCCGTAAATTACATTCAATTTGGGATAGTTTCTAATGAAAGTAGATGCCCTATTTACTCGTATTTTCACAAACTGCAATAGCGGTATATCATTATTTGTATATTTAAAATTAAGTTTAAAACTTGGCTGCTCTTTGAAAAATAACCCTTTATAAAGTCTTTAAGTCATTTTAAATTGGACCATACTACATAGTTGACGACGGACGGATCGGACGACTAAATTATTTTTATTTGTCTATTTATAGATAACATATTCCATAGTGGGGTTCAAAATTGATGAGAAGCCAGTACTTCGAAATATGACATACAAATAAAAAATACTTATTGCTCAGATAATTTTTAAAATTAAAAAGTTCAATTCTTTCATTATTACATTCCAATTTATTTATGGTTAATGATTATATCAATATGTACGCGGCTACGAGGTGGCCCTTGGGCCGCAACTTAACCTACTGTCACAGATATTGCAAGATTGGTGTAATATTTTATTAGACGCAAATAGCTTAATCTAATATAATAGACACTTCCATCCGATTGACAGATGAATAAATATTAACTATTCGTCCAATCAGCACATGACTATGGACATTTGGTTTTAATGTAGTCCTAAGAGTTTAGTTTAGTGTCGGCAACAGGTAACAATGGGCTGCTGTAGCACATAACAATCAGATGGACCACTGAAGCTGCTTCTCATCACTGAACTGTGTGTTTGTCTAACGTAATTATTGAAGTGTTTCATTCCAAACCCTGTAAACTTTAGTCACCACTTAGATAGACTAGAGTAACATACCTGTCAACAGAATTTTCACATCTTTATCACAATCAGGAAATGCGTTCCTTATAATTGTCGATATATCAGTTTTCGTTGTTACAAAAGCGCTGGCAAAGCGATGAATGTCGCAGCTCATATTCTCAGTGATGCACTCTTCTGTGCCATTAGTTATTTTCTTGGCAATTGCCCTCCATTGTTTCTGCAATAAACATATCTTTTATACAACACTGAATTCTAAATCCCGGTCGTTACCATATAATGGAAAACACTTCTACACACATTCTATTAATTTATTAAAGTAAATGTTACTATTTAGCTAATATTTGTGAATAAATGGAAAAAAGTTTTCATGTTGACTATGAGATTCAAATAAGAATAGGACTGAACTGGCGCCATATTGTGATGTCTTTTAGCTGTCAATTCTAACCAGTTAGGTAGGGTGAGCAAAACAGATATTTTTGAAATAATATGGATTTACAAATACCTATATATTATAATAATATTTACTTAAAAAAAACTTGAAACAAAAACTTTTTATCGGAACCTAGTATTTAAATTCTGCTTATCTCTGCATCACTGTCTGAGTAGGCATTTTTTTTATAGGAGAGGGGGCAAACGAGCATAGTAAGTAAGTGATTAACCGCCGCCCATGAACAGCTGCAACACCAGGGGGATTGCAGATGCGTTGCCGGCCTTTTAAAAAGGAATAGGCTCTCTTCCTGAAGGTCCCTAAGTCGTATCGGTCAGGAAAAATCTCTGGTGGTAGTTAGTTCCACAAGGAAGTTGTGCGAAGAAGAAAACTTCTTTTAAATCGCTTAGTGGTGGACCGCCAGTCATCCAGATGGTATGGATGGTATCGCTAGTTTTGTCGCGATGTGCGATGGTGAAACTGTGCGGCTGAAATTGGTCCGAACAATTCCTCAGAGCACTCCCCGTGGTAGATGCGATAAAATACTCTCTAATAAAATAATCTCTTCGCAGTGCCAGTGAGTCAAGCCGATAGGAAAGAGCTCGGTCGCCGACAATTCGATCTGCTCTGCGCTGGATGCGAACAAATGGAAGAAGCTGGCACTGGCGAGACCCGGCCCAGAGATGGGAACAGTATTCTATGTGCGGCCGAACCTGCGCCTTTTAAAGTTGCAGGCGGTGAGCCAGCATGAAATACTGTCTCGCCCTGCTGAGCACGCCAAGCGTTTTAGAGACCAATTTGGCCTTCTCTTCCAAGTGACCACGAAACTGCACGTCACTCGATATGTCGACGCCGAGATTTCCTATACTGGCGGAGGCAACAAGGAGAATGCTTGAAACTGAGGAGATACAACGAAGGGGTTCTTTTTAGCGGTAAACGCGCAAACTTGTGTCTTCTGGGGATTAAACTGGACCAGATTTAGTCGCCCCCAGTCCGAGATTTTGTTCAACGAAGTCTCGACTTCAGACACAAGTTTGTCCCGGTACTCAGCTAGGTTTTCCCGAGAAATATTAGCACGGCTGGTGTATAAAGCATCACCAGTACTGTCGTCTGCATAGCAATGAATGCTACCGATTTGCAACATGTCATTGATATGCAGAAGAAACAGTGTTGGTGATAGCACGCAGTCTTGTGGAACACCAGCGTTAAAGGGCTTGTAATCGGAGCATACACCGTCTACCTTGATGCTTCGATCAGCATGAAAACTGGTGATCCACAATTTCTCGAGAAGCCCATAGGAAGGAAGTTTCGTAAGAAGCGCTTTGTACCAAACCCGATCGAAGGCCTTCGCTATGTCCAAACTAACGGCCAACGCCTACCCCTTGGACTCTACTTCTTCCGTCGATTTATAAGTTAGACCTGAAACTCTACTGCCTACTACGAGCGACCGCGACGGAAACCGTACTGGCGGGCACTAATTAGCTGGTGATCCTCAAGGTACCGCATGAGCTGGCTGTTAATAATGGAATTCATTATTTTAGAGAACAAGGAGGCGATGGACATAGGCCTATAGTTGGACGGATCAGAGCGGTTACCTTTTTTAGGGATCGGGTGCACGAAGGCTGTCTTCCATGATTTCGGGACTACGCCTAGGGAGTAGGAGTACCGGAAAAGACGCGTTTAGACCGGTGCCAACTCCGGAGCACACGTCTTCAGCATAATAGGAGGAGGGACGCCATCAGACCCACTCGACTTGTTGATGTCCAGGGAGAGGAGTGCTCTGCGCACCGAGCGTTGGTTTAACAGCACATACTGCATGGAGCACTCACACAACGGGAAGGTCGGCGGTGTGTTCCCCCCGTCATCAAGAGTCGAGTTGGACGCAAATAGAGAGCCGAGTAGATCGGCTTTGTCCTTTGCGGCATGGCCAGTGTCGGCATTACCGCTATGGGACCTATATAGGCACCCATAGACGCGGGGATGGTTGTCGCTGACCTTCAAGGCTGCCGAGGCGTCGAAAACAGATGTCCTCTCTGAAGTACACGCAAACTCCAGCCCGGGGCACAAAAAAGTGTTCTAATCTGTACCCCGGGTACGAGAGATATGAAGTGTCAGCCGGAGAGGACACCTGTGTCTCGGTTAGAAAGAGAAAGGCCGGCTTTTCCGTTTCCAGATGGTAGTGGACGGCGTTAAGGTTTGAATGAAGTCCGCTGATGTAGCAGAAATCACGCCACCCCTTTGACTTATTGCTCTGTTTGCCCAGAGCAGGTTTAGTCTCGAGCGGAATTTCGCACCCCCCAGAATACGAGGGGCAGCCTGAGCACCCACGCTCAGGAAGAGTAGGGGAGTTTGGGCGTGGTGAGCATCCATGGTGGTGCTGGTACCCTCTTGGGATAGTGTTATATTTAACTCCGCTACCATGTTAAGGGGGTGGGGAATTGGGCCTCCGGCCACCTGCACTCACCACACGAAATGCAGAAGCAAAGCTTCTACTTCACGCCGGTCTTCTGTGAGGTCGTGGTACCACCCCGGTTTGAGCCGGCCCATATGTGCCACAGCATGTGGCTCTACCACTGTTAGAATTTATCCTCAAAAACAGAAATTTTCATCGCCTTAAAATATCTCCCCTAGCCAGTATTCATTGCCGATTCGTTTGACGTGACATAATTCTTTCTTCAAATCGTCACTGGTAATTGAAGCAATTGCTTCTAGTATTAGGCTCTCAAATTGGTTTTCTTAATGTTGAACAATTTTTAAAATGTAAATTATTTTTAAAACTAATTATGACTTCAATAGATTTGGTAATACTAAGACTCAGTTAAATAAAAATATGAAAATGAAAAATTTGTTTTCTTTGCAAGCTGTACTTTTTAAATGACAGTTGACAGATCACGGTCATTAGAGGTCATTGACGTTCCTATTCTTATTTGAATCGCATCGTAATGTCTAAATCGTTGGCTTAAAGGTCATTAGCGCAACTGCAGATCATGAGGTTTCAGAATCTCATGATCTGCAGTTGCAAATGATGAGGTTCTGAAACCGAATTGAATTCGAATTCAGATTTGAATCCTAGGTCAAAATTAGATATTGGGTTTTTCTATTTGAATCCTGTGTCTCAGAGAGCACGTAGAGCCGTTGGCCCTGCTCTTGATCTGATTGTAAGTGTCGACCGCCACCCACGAACAACTGCAACACCAGGACTTGCAGGTGTGTTGCCAGATTGGCGAATTGCCGTCTCATCGGACTATGAGGGTGAGGGAATAGAAAATACACCTACGCTTGCGCATACACTCTTACACTAAACCATCGTGCGTAGATGACTAGTCTCCATTGACACTCACATGAGAACATTACTATTCCATTATAAAATGTTGATTTGTGTTTTCATTAATGACCATGATTTGTAAACAAATAGTTCCTAGTGAAATTCTAGTATTGCTTAACTTACAAGAATCTAAGGTACCTGAATAATTTTGACTCTCTTGGCAGCATTCTTTATAGCTATCTCATCGCAGTCTACAGTAAGACTAGGTATGCCGTATCCAAGTGTAAGTGCAACAAGCAGATGACCTTGTCCCCCACCAGCCTCTAGACAATGAGTGGACCCAGTCACATTATAAAGTGATGCAACCAAACTGGACATAGCTTGTACCTAAAAGGATCAAACAGAATATACCGAGTGCTTCAAAAAAATGTGTACACACTTTGAACTTCCATAGAAAATTTATTTACCGTTCTACAAAGTTAAATTTCAGGAAAATAGAAAGCTGAAAGTCCAATGTAAATGAAACATAAATAACAAATGTTAATACTGTTCAAATTGGTGATCTGCAGCATCAATACAATTCTGAGTACGAGTCACCACAGATTCTGTACATCGTATCAAAACGTCCAATGAGATTTCTCTACACACTGCTTGAATCTCATTCCAAAGAATGTCTAGGTTACGTGGTTTACGTTTGTACACCTCATCTTTTACTGTGCCCCACAAGAAGAAATCCAGTGGTGTAAGGTCTGGAGAGCGTGCTGGAAACTCGATTGGCCCCCTGCGTCCTATCCACTGGCCCGACAAATTTTGATCCAGGTAAGCTCGTACGTCCCTGTGATAGTGCGGCGGAGCACCATCTTGTTGAAAATAAAAATCATCATTACCGTATAATGCACGAATGGCAGGAAATATGGAATCAGCAAGCATTGTTGGGTAATTAATACCAGTTACAGTGCCTTCAAATCGAAAAGGTCCAATGAGTCCCCTTGAAGACAAACCGCACCACACATTTATACCAGGCAAATTTACAGCTTTTTCAATTGTAATGTGAGGATTTTCTTCACCCCAGTAAACACAATTGTGCCTATTGACAGTTCCATTAAGTTTGAATTGGGCTTCATCCGACCAAATGATGCTACCCATAAATCCCGGTTCACGTATCCCGTATCACGTAATAACCTGCTTACGTTCTTCAAAACTCAAACGTACGTCCCCCATGTTGATATTACAAATTCCAACTGATAATATAACATAGAGGGACTATTATGCTGGCACCTGGCGAAGAAATATAACATTAGCCTTGTAGAGCGGAAAAACTACAATAGTTTAAAGTGTGTATACATTTTTTTGAAGCACTCTGTATTTTTAAAGATAAAAATTATAACTTAGTGTAGTAATTGCTTCCAGAGCATACCATACCGAACCATATGTTGTACTTTCTATCTATCTATCTATCTATCTATCTATCTATCTACCTATCTATCTATTTATATATATATATATACATAATTTCATTTTGTTTTGTTTTAATGTATATTGGTGTACAATGAACAATATATTGATTGATTGATTGATAACTTGGTAAAACTGTTGAATATGCACATGCAACTGCACAGAAAATAAAAACCTACCAACATGTCATGACTGAACAAGTGTGAGTTTGGCTAGTGCCCTGAGAGTTTCGCATAAACTTAATTATGGATAAAGATAGTTCTTCCATCCCAAGAATTATAGGTAGGGTGCTTACCCTCACACTCAACTTTGTTCTAATGAAGAAGTAAGTTACGAACCTAACTTTGCAGTGAAAATAACATTCTTCCATATATCAATCTACAAGATGATCAATGCTCCAATAGCAAATGTAGGTTACTACATTTGCAATTGGATGACATTTGCAATACTGTAACTTATTAGTTTTGATAAGTGACTTTGCATGTAGCAAAATATGTGATAAAAATGGTCATATCTTTTAATTGCATTGACTTACAAGTTTGAACTTTTATACTTCCAAATGACCACAGACCTTAGTATTTGATATTTACTTGATATCACACCCTGTTCCTGAGGCTAACAGACAGACTGACCAAATGACAATTGAAAAGAAAATTGGAAATCTTATCAGAGTTCCTGTAGGGTTTTTAATTTTCTTTTAGGGTACAGATCCCTAAACACTCTACATTGACTTCAAATAAAGAAGTCTATAGAAGTGTTATCATACTTGAGGATTGAGATAAAATGCTTTACAGTCTGTCATTAATAATTATTATACTTGCATGCATTATTTTATATAAAACAAATATATAAATTGTCACCTCGTAACTCTTCTTGCTAGTCATAAACTCTTGGACCTTAATTTCTGGCCTTATAATTCCTCCCCAACTATTGATATGGTTTTGGAGCTGTTCAATTGAAAGACAGTAATCATTGTTTACAGTCAGACAGTGCGATTGTGCCTTATGAATCCATTGGCGAAGTTCACATCTGTCTGAAAAAAACATCGAAATGAAAAATAAAACATTTTAGTAATATAAATTGATCTAACATATAGTGGTGGTATAAGTATATCCCATTACATTACGTGTCATAAAAAGCAATAGAGAGAAGTTGAACCACAAAATGGGTAAAAGCATCTGTCTGATAAAGCTAAATAAAATCAAAGAGTTGCAGTTGCCAACCCGCTTTCTTAGAGTGGCAACTATAGCAAATATCTCCTCTTTGAGGCAATATAGTCCATATTTCTGATAGGCTGTTACGGCAACGGTTTCAGTATTAAGTATATTATATAACAGTTTTGTAAGAATATATAACAACTTTATCTAGCTTAGAGCCGCTAGAATTGTGCCTGTACAGTTTTGGTATTTAGGAGCATAAAATCAACTCTCACCATTATTAGTTTGGTCTGACGTATAAGTCCAGAATTTCTCTATGGCAAAGTTTAGATCCCATTCATATAACATTTGTCTTAAAGTTTTTGGTAGCAACTCATCCCAGTGACTCTCAGTGAAAAATTCTACCATATGACAGTTTGCTAGAGGCAACAGAGGATTTAAATACTTTAAAATTCTATCCAAATGGTGGTGAATTTTTGTTATTGATGATTCCATGGCTATAAAATAAAAAAAATATATAAGGTAAAAAATATAATAAAATTTAACAAACAATTAACTTATGAGTCTTAAAATAAAAATATTTATGACAACAAAAATAAAGTTCAATACTGACGTTTCAGAAATAATAAACCCATATCTGATGTGAAATTCTATCTTCTGTTTCAAAAAAATTATTTCAAAGGGACTGTATCATCATCATCATCATTAGAGTCTATCACAAGAATATAAGAATTGATACCTAAGAACAGAGGTTAGTATAAACATGTAATTACCATTAAAAAGAAAAATTAACAGCATATGGATTATTTGAAGATATTTTCAACATAGCACAAGCCTTTTTATATTGTGCTCTAATAATCTCCAGGGAAGCTAGTATGTCATGCTGCTCAGAGTTTGTGCGAGGAAATGTGTCAATAAGTTCTTTTACTCTCTTTAGTTGTTTGATAGTCTTCTCGGAATGCTTTACATCAGATTTATCATCATCTTCTAGATAGTTATTCACTATACCAAAATAGTATCCTGTAATTGCAAAAAAATTACTAAGAATGCTAATGTTTTAGTATCTGGTATTAAAAATTTAACTTAGGCATAAGTTTTTAATTAAAGCTGTAATTACCAAGGTCATTAATGATATTAGCTAGGTGGACATTGTTATTATTACAAGTTAAATCAAACAAGGTAGGTATTTTCTTCCTTTCCTTCCTTTTTTTTATATTTTTAGCATATATAACATCAAGGTGAATCTTATAATATGACAATATTTTCTTCTAGAAAGCATTTGAACAATCCCATTTATTCAGGGGCTTACAAATTTTGCATTGAGTTTACACCTAGCCACCATCTCAATAAAACATCTACTCTAATTATTCCATATCCATTTTGGTTAACAAACATGAATGGCTGTTAAGAGACCTTGGTTCTCTGGCAGTGTTCTTCATAACAAATTTATCCATCAAAAAAGCTCTGAGCATAATTCTTTTTCTTGCTCGCTAAACGATATATAGCATTAAGGGCTTTTTTATACACAGCAAAATGAAAGAAATTAAAGCAAGAAAAATCATACTTAATAAATTGAAAACAAGTCGTTTTTGCAATAAACAAAAAAAAACTAAATTGAATAATTCAGGACACTGATTTAGAGAAAATGGAAGGAAGGAAAGCAGGTAGGTTTGTACTTTGTAACCATCGTCATCAAATGTTACCTTAAGTATATAAAATTTAAAACTTTTATTTCATACCTAATTCTCTGCCAATTTCAGCTCCCCTGTGATATCCTAAATGAAAGCCCTCGGGGTTTCCTGCATCACAACCAGTCCTATAACCTTCGTTGTAACTTTCCTTGCATTGGGTGTTTTCACTTAAAAATATATTTTCAAGGATATCATTAAAATCTATATTTTCAGCCATTTATCACGGTTCATTTACTACAATTACTGATTGCTGTGGGTATTTATTTTATTATTTATTATTGAAATATTATTATTAAAAATGATTTTTGATTAGGTTATGTACAAACGTAGACCAGAGAACACTATGTACCTACGTACAAGAATCAATCATTATCAAATGCAATCAAATGTACTGTACCTTTATGTTATTGTCATTTGTCAAATGTCAACATCGTAGACAGCATCAAATGATCAAAGAGTATACAACACAGAACAGAACATAATTACTCGCTATCTGCTAACTGCTACATATTTATTTATCTATGCTCTCTACTCTACCGAGAGAAGAACGCCATCTACAAACTACAAAAATGAAACACGCGTCTAGTAGGTACTTCTAGCGCCACAGTGGGCACATTGGACAGATATGAAACTTTTTTCGCGGGAATTTCAAGCCTTTTTTTCTGTAACTAAACTTTTTGAAGTAAAACTTCTTTACGGATGCTTGACTTGGGAAATAAGCAGGAGAACGCGTGACGAAAGCGTTACAAAAAATGTGATCGGGCGAGGCGAACGGGAGTAGAGTGGGGGATATAAGCAAGAGAGAGCAGTGCGCGTGCACAATTTCTTTCTTTCTTTCTCTCATAGCTAGTTATTTTTCGAAATTGTATTTAGTTTTGAAAAATTTTATGATTATTAATTTGTTCAACCTATTAAATATTCTACGTTTAAAGTGAATAAAATTGTAAATTCATTTTAAAGTTCATGTTTTGATATTTGTAGAAAATTAATACAAGTGTATATTATACATATGAGCATATATATAAGGGTATTTTTGAAACGCTCACGAAAACGAAGACAGATGATAGTATTAAGGATATATTTCATGATGAGAAAGAAAATAAAATTGATCCCGATGAAAAACTAATCATTTTTACAACGTTTAATAAGCTTCATTCACGCTCTATCATGTTAGTACAGCTAAATAAAACGATAATTTTATAAAAAAAAGGTCACGAAAATACCTAAACATAAAAAAATTAATGAAACTTCAATACCTGAAATCAGCTGATAAAGGGTCAATAAACGTACAACGCTTAACGCCGACACGCAGCCCACATTGCACCTGTACCTAATAATTTACAACACTTGTCTAAATACCCAACTTATCTACTTAATCTACTGTTTTGCTACTGTGCTAATCTCTACCTAGCCACTTTAATTGAAATTCACAGGTTAAATAAATCAAATACCTAGTTGGATTCCCCACTAATGAAAAATTTACTCAAACGAAATTTTAATAAGGATAGTCATGCTTTTTTATTATCGTGTTACCTACACTACACACCACTGTTTATTATATTGATAAATTTAGTTACGTACCTATTCACATCAGTTCAGAACTAAATTATTTAAAGAAGAAAGGTATTAAACAGCTTACCGATCAAAATCCTCTATGGCTTTATGAGATGTGGTTAAAATTGTGCCCCATTCATTTCGAGGCAGATTTGGGCTCGGTGATGCGTCTCCTCTTGCAGGCGGGACATCATCGTGGGGTCTTCGACACAATCGACACGTAGTTTGTCGAAAATATCCACGCTCCTTTGGCGCATTTCGTAAGCACTATCACACTCACAATAAAAAACCCTTTTTTCACATATCCCCACAGAAAGAGTCTAACGGGGTGAGATCAGGTGAGCGAGGTGGCCAAGTGTGCGGTTCTAGTCTGCCGATCCAGTGATTATGAAATAGCTCGGTGAGGCGCTCACGGACGAACCTCACGACATGTAGAGGCGCACCATCTTGCTGGAACCATGTGCGGCGATATTCAGACAACGATAAGTCGTCCAAAATGTCAACATACTGTTCATGTATAAAGTTTAGGTATCGTTGTCCGTTAAGTCGCTGTGACAGAAATACTGGTCCTAGTAAACCTGCCCATACGTTAACTGACCATCGGGTTTGGTGACCGGTTTGTCGAATAGCGTGAGGGTTAACCTCGCAATACATGTGAGTATTTCTTCGGTTCAGGCCGTTTCTGGTAAATGTGGACTCGTCCATCCAGAATACGTGCTCAGTGAAACCAGGTACACGTTGTTGCCGGTCTAATAGCCAACGGCAAAAAAACTCGTCGGCGGTCGTGATCGCCTGGAACTAAAGCTTGCACTTTGTATGGTCGCATTCGGTTACGCTTTCACACTTTGTGAACTGTACAGTATGACACACTAGTCATACTACCAACACTCACTGGCTGCTGTTATCAGACGAGAGTCAGTTGGGTGGAGCGGTCGGAAATTTTTCTCGGTAAATTCACCAAGGCACATTAGCATGTTGCCGTATTCACGAGCACTATAAACGTATGCGTTAGGCATTTTAGAACAAAACAAGAAACAATAAAAGTAATAACAACAAGAATTTAATACACAAAATAACTGAACTGCTCACGCGCACGAAGACACAGAACTGTCTTAAAAAACTAAAATTAATAATCAATTCCCGCCAAAACAAATGCGTACAGCGTAGTTTGTGTGTCCTTGGTCCTTGTAACCAGAGATCGTTAAACCATTATGACATTCCCAACTTTTATTTTATAACTTTAGTTATACCTACGACTGGTCTTCAAATGGAATTTAGATGTTAGTTATCATTTTTTAACACAATTAGACAATCAATTGTATTCTGACGTAACAAGCAGTTCGTTACTACGAAAATGATAGGTATTGAAATTAATAAATGTACCTAATTGGGTAACTCACTATAACTTATCTGTTATTTTGTACAAGAAAATAGAAATGAAAAGGTACTAAATAGTAGTCAAAATCAGTTGCAATAATGATCGATAGTTAACTAATCTATCAGAATGAATCTAAAAAATAAACCATTTACTTTATTTTAATTGACTATCCTTTCTTTAATTGATTAATTATTTTAATTGACTTTCCGTTCAACAATTTGAACTTAAAAAGAGGTAAGTCAAAACTATTAAAATTTCTTCCAAGTTTTATTGTGATTGCCACCTCTAATTCATATTTCGTCTGCAAATTTTAAATTAATTGAAATTCCGCACGAGACTAAACCTGCTCGGGTCAAACGGAGAAATAAGATAAAGGCACCCCGTGCCACACTATCCGTCAATTTCAAGCAACATCAGGGGACTTCATCCAAACCTTAACGCCGTTCACTACAATCTGAAAACGGTGATGCCGGCCTTGCTCTTTCTAACCGAAATACAGGTGTCCTCTCCGGCTGATACTTCATATCTCTTCTACCCGGCGTATAAATTAGAACACTCCTTTGTGACCCAGACTGGAGTTTGCGTGTAAGTCAGAGGACATCTGTTTTCGACGCCTGTCTATCCTATGGCTGCACATAGGCAGCGACGACCATCCCCACGTCTACTGGTACCTCTATAGGTCCCATACAGCTAATGCCGACATACCGATTTATCAAACACGTCCAAATGGCTGCAGACTCCGTGCTACAACCGGTTTAAACCACAGAAATCGATATAATTTGTGATTTTAACGCCCATCACGCTTAATGGGTTGGTTCACGTTTTACCGATCACGCGGGTAGATCTGTTTATGGCTTTGCTTTGGCATATGGTATGACACAACTGGTTACCTCACCTACGTGGATCTCAGACGTGGAAGATCATGTACCTTCCTTCTGCCAGAAAGGTTAAGAACACAAAACGTCCCTATTCCACTTGTATCATGTTTACATTATTAATTAATTATTATTGTTGCGCGCCTAAGTTGACATCATGTACCCGGCAATAGCGCCATCTAGCGTCAGGGACCAGAGCGAGGAGGGCTTCCTAGAAAATGTCAATCTTGACTTTCGACCAACAGCGCCATCTAGTATCGAACAGAAGAATTAAGATTTCTTGAAGCCCCACACTCGAACTTTCTGCGCCTGGTCGGTTGGCGCCCGTATCTACGTGAATATTCTGGATGTTCCGGTGTAAAAGTGTATTTAAACCCGTTGCATGCCGCGATCGGGGCAGTATTTAATTTGGCGAGACAAGCGAAGCTTCGGAGCGAAATAAAGTGAATCAGTGTGACTAATTATTAGTATCTTTTAAGTTTTAATTAGTGTAAAGTGAATTAAAGTGTTAATTTTGGTAATTCTATCGGCAATTTTTATTGTCACGAACCTCAAGCTCGTAACATTATTTATCCCTTCCTGCTTGGAAAAGGCTCACAATATATTTATACAAAATACCCAATACAAGGGCTTCGCTCTCCTACATTAATTTAAAAAAATTTAGGGGAGACAGACAGCTCCACGGTGAGCGCCAACCATTTTGATGCACTTCCCTCGAAGGGAACGCTAATTCGGGAACTGGACCGTAGTCCACAGCAAAATAACTGGCGAAACAGTAAAAGAGGGCTTGGCCCCTTGGTAGTGCGTAAGCACAAACATCGACCCAAGTCGCGCATGTCAATGAGTGTAAACGCCATACAGAATACGAAAGAATCCAGACACAGTGAATGTACGTCACATGGTTTAGGCAAATAGGCACACTAGCCGTTAACCCTCAGTGAGCGCCACCACCTGCCAGACTGCCACTCCTGCAAACGTGTTGTAAGTGTATGGCATCACCACCAATTGCATGATCAGCACGTCTACTAGCTGCAGAGCTTATCATGAGTCTACATCTCACCTCAAGGGAATGGGGTCCCACGTTGTGTGGCTTTCGACAGCAGCCTTGAGAGTCTCCTCAGATTCTCCCTCCAGCTACCACCCGCATGATGTCGACACATATGCTCAACCAACCGATACAACGACAGATATAAGCAAAAGACAGTTATAAGATAAGTGTAATAATTCGCCATCAGTAAGGGTTTGTGTCACTGACGTTGAGTAAATGCATTTTCGATCATGTTTGTCTCACCCACCAACAAGTTGCCTTCAATCATTCAAAAGTGGGAAAGTTACAGAGATATATTATTATGTTGTTATATAAAACATCATGGAGGTCAGACAGTCTGCAGCTCCGTAATGAAGGGACCC